TGCCGACAGAGAGTGGGCATACTGGTTATACTGTGCTGCTAGTTGTAGTAGTTGCGTCTTCTTTCAGGCTGTAATCATAGACCATGGAGAATGTATAAGGAGACCGAACCACAGTATGAGGCTGGTATTACATTTGTCGTACGACAAAATTTTTAAGCGTATTGATTGGCTGAAGGATAGTAAAATTCTCGAGTATCTAGAAACTTTCTATTCAGCGGCCAATCGACACGCTTGAAAAATTTGTCGTACGACAAATGTAATACCAGCCTATAACCACAGTATAACCAGTATGCCCACTCTCTGTCGGCACCTTAAAACATATATACCTGCAAGGGGAATGCCTTTGTTTCCCAGCTGCCGAAACTGTCCAAAACATGAGATAGAGAATATATCTCCTTGTTCTCGAGATGGGCAAAGGCATTGGCTGTGTTCTCCAGAAGTTAGCGCTTAATAAGCGCTTTATGCTGATTGGATAGATCTAGAAGAATAGCTTAATTTCAGCACAGATCTGAAAGTATAATCCAATGAACGCAAAGCGCTTAGCAAGCGCTAACTTCTGCTGGACACCAGGCATTGGTTTAAATGGTTTTCATGCTATGCACATGCAGCTATGCAATTTTGTGTGCGATGGCCCTTATCGCTTCTTAGCAACAAAAAAGTTGACACTCATCATGTATGTACTGTATACATACATACGTATCGTTGACTTGTTTTCGCGGAAACCCGTACGCCTTGCCGTTGGCATGGAGTCGTCAACGATTTTTAGAAATTACGTTTAACCGTTCGAGTGCAGGCAATGACTGTACGTATCTTTTATTTCTGTAGTAGGATTTGGAGATTTATAAAAATCACAGAGACAATTTCTTTCCAACTGTTATCTTTTATTTGTTACTTTTTTTATTATACGTGTGTGGAGCGAGTCTTCAAATTTATCAATGGAATTGAATATTATTAATGTTGTAGTATGTAATTTGAAACATCAATATTTACAGTAACAAAGATACAAATTTATTTTCAGTGACACGAACTTTACATTCTTCGAATTTATCTTGCCTAAAAAGAGACAGTGCAGATCTGTGCAAAAAGGAGATGGCATCTCGCGAACGACCCAGTATTTTAGATCATCTCGAATTCAACGAGATAATAAACGAACTAGAGGGAAAGGAAGAGACATCAGTCTGGATCATTGATATCAGAGAACCATCCGAGATAAACGAGATCTCTTATACACCAGAAAGCATTAATATACCACGTAGGTTTCTTTTGCTACATGTATAAATCTTGAAAAGATTTTGTTTATTTTTAAACGTTAACAATGTTATATCATGTAAATGATATACAGTAACAAGTAATAAAATATATGTATATATTTGTTTTAGTGGATGTGCTTGTGAAAGTATTGAAAGAGATGTCGGTAGAAGACTTTATGAATACATATAAGAAACCAAAGCCGTCTGCTTCCGATGAAATCATACTTGTCTGCGCATCTGGCCGGAAAAGTAAATGTGCGCTGAACGAAGTGAAGAAATTGAATTACAAAAAGTACATATTTTTGGTATTCAAATCAGTAAGGTATATGTAATAGAGAACTCTAAATTTATTCATATTGCAGTGTACGCAGACTTGCTGGCGGCTGGTCAAAATGGTATGACGAAAGAATAACGGAAGAAACAAGAGAAATAGCAAAAAAGAAAGCCAGAGAGAAACCTGAGACCATTCTCGAACACTTGAAGAGCAAAATGCCAAAGTGCAAGTGAACTACTGGATGGCCGCTCTCAGGTTTCTCTCTGTCGCAACAAAGGCAGGAAATGAAAAATAGAAAAGTAAAAGTAATTGAACACAAAGAGGAAGTTACTTTACCATTGCGATGTTATTAATAGAATATTTTCACCGTTGCACTGACTTTATATATAATTTTGAAACGGTCTTATGTGCAAATAATAAAAAGTAAAGATTCATTTTGATGCATTGGTTAGACACTTTCCGATTGCTGTTGCCAAAATTGTTTTATAGAAAATAAGGAAACATTACTATTTATCCAAATGTACATTGATATTTTCTATACACATCATCTTCGTACACCTAGTGAAATCTTAAGTTTATACAATATGTATATACACAAGCACACACAATGACACAAGAAACTGTATCAACGTTACACACGATAAAGTTAGCAATTCTTCTCCTGCGCCATTTTCTTGTGATTAATCATCTCTCTAAATAATCCTAATAAAAGATTTTCTCTCTTCTGCCGTTCTTCCTTGCTGAACATTGCCAAGGCATGCTTCTTGTCGACAGAATAGATCTGGTTCTCCTTTCTGATACAAACCGCTTCCATGCGACGATACCTTAAAGAAAAGGTACGACGTCTAAAGATGTATATCAGACAAGCGTGCCAGTAAAGATATACTAAATCAATAGACGTTCATCGAGATCGTTAATTAAATAATTGAGACAGTGAATCGATATATTTTTACATATTTCGGATAGTCAAATCCTTTGTTTTTAATGTAACGTCGAAAATCTATTTTCACCTTGTTTCACGATACGAGATATAGAAATACGAATCTTTTACATGTATGATTTATATTACCTGCTCCTACTCGTGACGTAACCGACGAATTCGTACGCTGCGATCTCATCTGATGTGAGAGTGAGGCCAATGGCCGCGTTCAGCAGACACAACTGTTGAGTGAGCGCT